AAGACTTCCTTTTTCTTTTCTTGCTGTGGGACGACATGACGCAGGCAGGGGCCAAATGATCTCTCGATGTAAAGAATTGCAAGGATCGTGTGTGTGTGTGAGAGAGAGGGATATCCCTTTTGTACTAATGAAAGCTGAACAGGAAGGGTGAGATGAGCCAGGAAAAAGAGTTGGTGTTTGAGTGGGTGGCGCAGATGCTTTGTACGCAAGAGGTTTTGGGTTCAAACCCTGGCATTTCTAGGTAGGATTGGAGGAGATCTCAGTCCACTAGCAGCCAGTGTAGGCTAGGGACGGGAAACCTTAGGGCGGAGGGAGGGGCAAATGTGGCCCCTGGACCACTGTATGTGGCCCTTGGGATACTCTGCAGGCCACTCCACCAATTCAGCCACACCCAACTCCCCAGATCACTCCCACCACTGACCTTACTTTACTCTCCTAGGTGGAATCTAGACACATACAAAGAAACGCTGCGAAAATGCTAAAAAAGTTTTGGAAAATATATTGAATTTGCCATAAGCCCACCATCACCATCTAGTGTCACATTTGTATAATACACTTAAAGTGCACTTAGAACGTTATATTTGCAGCTGTATAGCTGAGTCCCTAGAGTGGTTTTTACCTGGCTAGAGTGTCCTCTTGAACTCTATGATGCCTCTGGTTTGCCTGGATAGAGAGGGGCATGTAGAGAAACCAGGGAACATTTATATTCAATGCCCCACCCACTTTTGCCCCTGGCTCCGCCCACCTCTGGCATATGGCCCCCAGAAGGCAATTGTGTGCTGAAAATTTTTCCCTATCCCTCATCTACATGGAACCAGGGATGGTTCTGGTCTCCTCATATCACTGTCTCTAAGATAAGCTACATGCACACATTACAGAGGCCTCAATGTTTTGTTTACAGTACAATCGTGTCTTGCGCAGGGGTTACATTCTGGAGATGGCACATAGGTGCAGAAACGTGTACACCCGAATCACCCCCTTGGAACCTCAACCAAAACCAGAAAGGGACATAAGATAACGGCAATGCTTTGCAGTTTCCTTTGGAGACAACTTTTCCCTTCACCCAATTTGTGGGTCCATTGTGTTCCAAAGCCCAAAGCAACCTTTGACTCTTTAGCAATACCGATAGTGAGCAGCGAGTGGGTGTTAAGGTTTTCGGTTTTCATCAACCAAGGGTTGTGTGGCGAGTTCCCGTCTCCCCCCAGCAGAAATAAAGACACGACACACTGAATATAAGGTTAAATGGGCGAATTAGGCCACAACTTTATTGATTACTGGAATGAGTGGTATTGGCCTTAGGCATTGGTCCTATCGACTAGCCGGCTTCAGCCTAATTGCGTGAATACCGGCAAGGGTTAACCACCGTTAGGGGGAGTCCTGCTGAGGCACGTCAACTAGGAGCTCCCTCGGGGTCACCGCTTGGGGGCGTGCCTTAGGCCCACACCTCCATAGGCTTTGGACAGGGCAACGCCCCCCCCCGGAGTCCTTTATTGGACTACCCTTTGTTGTGGGGGGAGGCGATGGTGCTTCCTCCCCCCCTTCCAATACTCTTAACCCTCCCTAACCATTGCCTAGCCGCCAAACCGGGAGTTGTGACGAGTTGCTACGAGGTAGGCGAAAAACCAAATGGCTAAAATTGCCAAGTGGGAAAAATTCCTACCAGGCCCCTTGCGGCGACCAACATACGTCCATAGCAATGTCAAGGAGCCTGCCTAAAGGGAGGAAAGGGTGGGAAACGGAGTCAGCTGGTGCGGCAAAAAGAGGGCGAGCCTCGGCCGTGCCACACAAATAGGGCAGGCAACACACCCCAGCCACCCGATTGGATGGCTGGGTGGGTGACGCGGCCGAGGATTCCCCTAGGTCTCGCGGGGGCTGGGAGCAGCCCCCGCGCACGTGGGGTGGGCTTGAAGCCCGCAACCCCACCTCCTCCCAAGCTCGGAAGTGGCTGAAGTGAACATAGGCTTCTAGATGTTGTGGGACTCCAACTCCCATCAGCTGCAGCCAAAGCAGGCCATGGTTAGGTGGGGTGGTGGTGAAAGTTGCAGGCCATCTGAAGGGCCACAGGTTCCCCAGTCTTGACCTCTAGCTCCCAAGACATTTAGCTACCTTGGATGCACCACACAGGCTCATGGAAATAGGACTGCTATAGTCTTAGGGCAAAGTTGCTCCAGATGTTGATGGATTACTACTAGGACTGCCATACTAGGAGTTTTCCTGGACACGTCCGGAAATCACACTGTTGAAATGGTGTCCAAATTGGCAAAAACCTGGACGTATGGCAACTAGGGTGACTTTTTAAGAAGAATGCATCAAAATTACCCCAAAGCTCAAAGACAAAGGTAAAGGTAAAGGTACCCCTGCCCATACGGGCCAGTCTTGACAGACTCTAGGGTTGTGCGCCCATCTCACTCAAGAGGCCGGGGGCCAGCGCTGTCCGGAGACACTTCCGGGTCACGTGGCCAGCGTGACAAGCTGCATCTGGCGAGCCAGCGCAGCACACGGAACGCCGTTTACCTTCCCGCTGGTAAGCGGTCCCTATTTATCTACTTGCACCCGGGGGTGCTTTCGAACTGCTAGGTTGGCAGGTGCTGGGACCGAGCGACAGGAGCACACCCCGCCGCGGGGATTCGAACCGCCGACGTTTGGATCGGCAAGTCCTAGGTGCTGAGGCTTTAACCCACAAGACATCTTCACAAACATCTTCCCAAAAAAGCTCAACTTTGTGTGGCCCCCTAAGAAAAAAGGTCAACAACGTTGTCTGGCAAACCCTAATTACTACCCCATGAGTCCTGACCACCAACTATGTAGAGTGGAGTTGGGATGTTCAAATAATATGTGGAGGACAGCCTATTGGCTACCTATTTGACCAATGAGTCACATGCCTCCCCTGTGTCTATCTATCGATCTATCTATCTATCTATCTAATCTATCTATCTCTATCTATCTATCTATCTATCTATCTATCATCTATCTATCTATCATCTATCTATCATCTATCTATCTATCTATATCATCTATCTATCTATCTATCTATCTATCATCTATCTATCTATCTATCTATCTATCTATCTATCTATCTATCTATCTATATCTATCTATCTATCTATCATCTATATCTATCTATCTATCATCTATCTAATCTATCTATCTATCTATCTATCATCTATCTACCTACCTACCTACCTATCTATCATTTCAACATGTGCCTTCAGGATTTGCCTTTACTGCAACAGGCACCATCCCTGAGCAGCCAGCCCTTCCAAAATCTGAGCGTTAGGAGTCCTGGTAATTCGAGTGGCAAGTGTGGTATCCAAGGCCTGAGTGAAACTGGCATCTTCTATGCCATGAAGAAGATTATTGGAGCCATCCCTCCACCTTTGTTTAGAAACTTCTCAACTCCTGCCATGAAGGCTGAAGCGGGGTTTGAAGCCCCCAGGACCTGGCCTGTGGTGATGATGTCATCACAATGCACCTGAACCTGGATGTGCCTGGTGTGCCGGAGGGCCACATTCCAGTGGTGGTGGGAAGAGCCAGAGGCATAATGCGGACCCTCCAACATCCCTCAGATGAAAATAGGGACATTTCTCTGACCCTCCTCAACCCCCCATTTTTTGCCCACCCGCCCCGGCAGAGCATTTCCTATCAGAAGAAGAGCGAGTGCCACTACTTCCATCATCCTGAGAAAACCCCTTCACCCCGATTTTATTTTATTCTTCGGTAGATTGACAAAAAGAGAAACAAGGCACGAATAAATAAATATTAGGAAAGGGCACAATTAACAAAGCATTTTAAAAATAAACATCAAGACTCCTTGTGCTCCACTCCTCCTTTCTTCCCACCCAGGACGGCCCTGCCCTCTGCCTGCCCCTCAGAGCCGGTTCCTCATGGTCCCTCATGGTCCTTGGTGGCAGCGGTCTCTTCTCCTCCTCACCTGCTCTCCAGCAACCGCTATGAGCTGTTCGAGAAAGAAGGCCGGCAGTGGCAGCCCTGGAGAGGCAACAGGAGGCTCCCTCACAGCAGCTGAGGACAAGCACCATGTCATTCTCCTCCCTGAGCTCAGCAGCAGCAGCAGGTGGGGAATGAAATAGGGACATTCCAGGATCACATCAGAAGCTGGGATGGCTTTTGTAATTCCAGGACTGTCCCTGGAAAATCGGGACACTTGGAGGGTTTGATAATGGGCCAAGCAGCATATGATGAATTTTACCTTGCCACATTGGGCTACTTCCTACAGATGCTTTCACACCCCTCTCTGGTCTCCAACCAGGCATTATCCTCTGATATCTTCAAGAACAAATTCCAGCAAGACAAAACCACTCAAGGATAGTGCTAAGTAGGACAGGTGAAGGCCATGGTCTGAGGAGAGAGGAATGGCTGAAGAGGGATTATGGCCTGGGAAGAGACTCAAGGGCCAGGCAGAGAAGTTTGGAGGGCCACATTAGGCCCCTGGATTTTATGGTCCCACCCCTCCATCTATAAAGGTCCAATACAAGTCCACCATGGAGCAGGCACAGATTGTAAGCGCACCTTGGATTAAAAACATATTTATACCACTTTAATAGCCACAACTTCCCTCAAAGAATCCTGGGAACTGTAGTTGGTTGAGAGACCCCTTGCAGAGCTATCATTCCCAGGACTCTTAAGAAACTACAGTTCCCAAGATTCTTTGAGGAAAGCCACGAGGGTTAAAGTGGGGCAAGTCTGCTTTGAATATATGGTGTGGATATGGCCGCAGACTCTGAAGGGCATTTTATCGATTGACTTCATGAAAATTATATACCGCTTGATTTTAAGAAACCTCCTCAAAGCATTTTACAAAAGGAATAAAATAATGAAATCATCAGTTAAAAAACCAACAATGTTTAAAAATAACTATTTCACACATATAAAAAATAATTAAAATCAACAACAAGCTAAAAACCAGATTAAAGAACAAGTCAACATTCTACATGTCTAGATAGGCTTGCCTGAAATATTAGCAAACATTGAAAAGAGTACAGTGAAGGGACCTGCTTGATCTTAATAGGCAGGGAGTTCCAAAGATCAGTAGGGAGCCTGCACTGAAATAAATCCAGTAAAACCAAGGTTTCAAATCCACTGCTGAATTCTGGGGTATACCCGAGTTTGATATAAAATATTGTTTGCTGATTGTAGTCAAAAGCTGTTCCTTCTTACTAGTTTGCAAATGATGTTTGAAATAAAGCAGCTTTGCGCTTTTATGAATGCACCATTTCATCCCTCTTTCTCCTAATGCCCTTTGCCTTCCAGATTGACCTGTCGGCCTCGCAGCTTGTTCAGGGCATTCAGCATGTCCTCGTTCCGCAGGGTGTAGATGACGGGGTTGAGCAGGGGTGTGACCGCCGTGAAGAAGATAGAAACCACCTTGTCCGCAGCCAAACTCTTGGCCGGTCTGAGGTAGATGAAGATGCAGTGGCCCAGGAATAAGGTGACCACTGTTAGGTGAGCAGCACAAGTCGACAGAGCCTTCCGCCGCCCTTCAGAGAAGCGGTTCCTCAAGGAAACGAGGATGACCACGTAGGAGACCACCAGAACAACAAAGCAGACCACCGAGATCACCCCTGAGTTGGAGACGATGAGGATTTCGAAGACGTAAGTGTTGGCACAGGCCAGTTTGATGACCAAAGGGACGTCACAGAAGAAGTTGTCGATGTTGTTGGGGCCGCAGTAGGGCACATTGAGCGTCAACAGTGTCAGGGCTATGGAGTGCAGCAAACCACCCAGCCACATGGCCACAGCCAACTGGAGGCAGACCCGGCGGCTCATGATGGTGCCGTAATGGAGGGGATTGCATATGGCGGCGTAGCGGTCGTAGGCCATGATGGTGAGGAGGAAGATCTCCGTGCAAGCAAAGAGGTGGAGGAAGAACATCTGGGCTATGCATTCCCCAAAGGAGATGGTCTTCGTCTCCGCTAGGAAGTCGGCGAGCATTTTGGGCATGACCACGGAAGAATGGCAGACGTCGATGAAGGAGAGGTTGCTGAGGAAGAAATACATGGGCGTGTGAAGGTGCTGGTCGTAGATGATGGTGACGACGATGAGAACATTGCCAACTAGGATCAGGGAGTAGATAGCTGTGAAGAAAACGAAGAGCGCCAGTTCGGTGCTGTGGCTAGTGGTCAAGCCAGACAGGACAAATGTCTTCACCGTAGTGACATTCTCTGGTACTGCATCCATCTTTGTGGCGGAGGCTAGAAAGGATGCAGGACAGAAACAGGGAGGATGAGAAACTGAAATTCTGAGTCTCTTTGGGTGGAAACAGACAGAACCACCCCAAATACACAGGCAGAGAAGAGGGGACCTGATTTGTTTTTTCAAAGGAAAAGGAAGTTGAAATCTACTTTCGCCTGTGATTAGTGTTACATGGCATTCAGAAACCTTGAACCTTTTTTCTTTTAAACTAAAAAACCAGACTCAGACTCCCAGCAAAGGAAGAATGGATACAAAAACTTACGGAATATGCAGAAATGGTGAAACTTACCAGAAGAATAAGAAATCAAGATAACAAACTTTTGATAAAAGAATGGAAATGGTTTATTGAATATTTACAGTAAATAGATAAAAACACTGGCAGGATTATTGTAATAACCTGCAGTTACGTAAGAGTATATATTGAAAGAAGATAAATAAACGAGTAAGTTAAGTGAATTTGGATATGCAGAAGGTATTAAAAACAAATCTAAGGAACCGCAGAAAGAGGGGGAAGGAAGTCAAGTTTTAAAATGGGTCAGCAAACTTTTTCAGCAGGGGGCTGGTCCACTGTCCCTTAGACCTTGTGAGGGGCTGGACTATATTTTGGAAAAAAACCAAAAAATGAATGAATTCTTATGCCCCACAAATAACCCAGAGATGCATTTTAAATAAAAGCACATATTCTACTCATGTAAAAACGTGCTGATTCCCGGACCATCTGAGGGCTGGATTTAGAAGGTGATTGGGCCGGATCTGGCCCCCAGGCCTTAGTTTGCCTACCCATGTTTTAAAATGTCAAAATGATTGTAAAATCAGTGAAATGTATATATCTGAAAAGTATAAATAATAATAATGTAAAAAAACCAGCCGCAGAGTTCAGATCTAGTTTGAGGCTGAGGCAGTGGGAGAGAGGAGGGTTAATTCCATCCTCTCTGCCATGTCCCTACTATGAGGATGGAAAAAAAGATATATGGTACTTATTTCTATTGATAGATTTATGGATATGCCACCTTTTGAGTCATAGCTTGCCCGAGGAGGCTCAGAAACACACAAAAAAAGCAGCATCCACTTTGACTATGATTAAGAAGGCTAGATAAAAACAAATAACAGAGGCGAACGGGCAGTCCTATGGTGAGATCTGCTGGGATGAGTGGCTTAAGATGCAGAGGATCTCCACCTCAGCTGGCTGATTCCCAACCTGGGTTCAGCCAGAGATACACTGGCATAATTTCCCGGCTCAACTGGCTAAGTTGATGCTGGTGTAAGTGCCCAAAGGGGGTTCTTTGTGAAGCGTGGTGGGACCAGAGAGTGGGGAACCTAGGCTGGATCCTGAGAAAATTCTGCTTGATCATGTAACCGGACAATCTGGTGTAAACTACTGTTTTAAAGGCTTGTTTCCCCTCTGCTAGGTGGAGGCAGACTTGCAGCAGGGACCCAGCTGCTGAACAGGGTTTGGATCTGGTGTAACTTTAGGCTAGCTTAATTTACACCAACCAGCTCCTTGTGCATAGGGTTGCTCCCTAGCAATCCTAAAAAAAGGACACTACTGCAAATGACAGAACAGAAAGAGCAAAAGGAAGGAAGGAAGGAAGGAAGGAAGGAAGGAAGGAAGGAAGGAAGGAAGGAAGGAGGGAAGGAGGGAAGGCAGGAAGGAAGTGTGCCCTTCAATATGGCAATAATTCAGTCTAATGATGCATGAATCGCTCAATTTCAGTTTCTCTCAGTTTCTCCATTTTTTGAGTCCTAAATTCATTTCTCCACATTTCTGGATCGGTTCATGATTTTTTTTCCCTTACAAAAAGGTCCCTGCGAAAAGCCACCAGCATTTTTGTGCAAATTTCTCCTAACATACGCAATTTTGCATGCTATTTTGCCTACATGTTATTCTCATTATGCTGGATCTTGTTTCTGCATTTGGGTAGCACAAATGAAGAACACACACAGCTCCCTTGATGAACAATGCACCCATTAAAAAAATTAACAACTGCTAGGACTTGGCTAATTTGTCCCAGTTTTGGACCTCAGTGACAGGTGTGATTTCGAGTATGTTTCCATATAGAATTTCAACAGAGAAGTTTTGTTCATTTAAGATCTGGGCAAATCCATAGGATCGATTTAAAGCACATCCAGCGCACATTGAAAGCACAGGACTTCCCCAACAAATCCTAGAAACTGTAGTTTCCCTTCACAGCTGCAATTCCCAGCAACCTTAACAAACTACAGTTCCCAGGATTCTTTGGGGGGATTAATGTACTTTAAATGTGCATTATATGTGCTTTCAGGGAATGCTGTGCACCCACTCACAGAACCCCCAACCCTCCCTTCTGCAACTGAATGAATAAAATGTCACTTACATTTCTTTCTGGAGGTGCTGGAGATTCTTAGGGTGATTCTTAGTTTTGGACAGGCATCTAACGTTCAATTTAAAAACAGTTTCTTTTGATTGCCTCTGAAGGTCAGGCAGATGAGCTTAAGGGAATCAGAGAGAAGAACTTGTAATTTCAACACTCTCTTCAAAGCGCATTTTGATCCTTCCAGGCTGCGTTTCTAAGACAGTCCTAGCTGAATTTGCTTTGTATAAAATTGCTACTATAAAGTGTTGTCTTGAGCCAAATGAATAATTGCCTCTAAACCAACATGAAGTTTAGATCCAGATCAGGTCTCTACATTTTGGTTTTCCTTTGGCATAATTTAAATATCGAATGAATCAAGTCTTCAGTTTCGTCCAAGTTTCGTTTCTTGAGAGACCTAAGGAGTTGTGGTTAAAGTAAGGACTACCCAACCCATAAGTAAGGGAAGCAAAAAGACTCATGGCATGTTGCTTTGTCCCCTCTCGTTGCCAACTCTGGAGATCCTTTATGCTTTTCCTCCCTCAATATGCTTCTTATTCTGTCATAGTCAAGAATGTGTAACACTGATTGGAGCATCAAAGTGAGGATTACAAGCTGAAGTTCTTACAATTAAGTCACAGGGGAGGTCTTACGCAAGTTGCCCCAAAGTTTTCAAAACATCAAAGTTAAGCCTGGTGTCGTTTAACAAGCCCTCTTAGGTTTTTCCCCCTCAAATGCTTTTTATTGAGATTTAAGAACACCAACACCAACCTACAAAAACATCAAGTCTTATTACATACATCCTGCTTTATCCTCCATAGAGCCGTTGACTTCCGTCCTTCCCTTCCGCAAGTTTTCTTATTCCAATAATTCACAGTTTCATTGGTTAAAAATTACACCATGACATAAGATTTAATTCAATCCTGCCAACGTTTTCATATTTCTACAGTTCTCACTTATATAAACCATAAATTTACTCCATTCTTTTTGGTACTTGGTCTCCTCCTGATTGCGAATTCTGTGTGTCAATTTTGCCATTTCAGCGTATTCGACCAGCTTTATCTGCCAAATGTAAAAGTGCCCCAAAGTGGAAGTTACAGGAGATTCTGACTGTAAGGGAATGGCAGATCAAGCCCTCTTAGGTTTTGAGGAATCATATGTCAATTTGGGCAGAGAACAACACAACAATTGGCCATAATTGCACAATGCAAACTCATCCAGTCTAACTCCATTCATGGCACGGGTCTAGAACAGGGGATGCAGTGAGGATCACTAGCTAGATCATTTTAACCAAAGGTGGGTGGATTAGGCCAAAAGCCCATCTTCTTCAATATCCCATTCTCACAGGTAACCAAGCAGATGCTTCCAGGAAGCCTGCAAGCAGGACTTGAGAATCCCAGTTCCCTCCCCACTTGGGATTCCCAGGAACTGGCTTTCAGACGCAGAATAAAAGCCTGAAAGGAAATGAAGTATGGTTGGGAGATCCAACAATGTTTGAGTTTGGCTGACCCTCTACTGGTCACCCAGTCTATACAGCTTGAGAAACACAAATGGAACTACAATCCCAAAAGCAAAACAAACATTCAAAACAATATACAACAATGGATTTTAAGTTTAAAAGCATGATAGGCATAAAAAAGGTAAAGGTAAAGGTACCCCTGCCCGTACGGGCCAGTCTTGACAGACTCTAGGGTTGTGCGCCCATCTCACTCAAGAGGCCGGGGGCCAGCGCTGTCCAGAGACACTTCCGGGTCACGTGGCCAGCGTGACATCGCTGCTCTGGCGAGCCAGAGCCGCACAGGAAACGCCGTTTACCTTCCCGCTATAAAGCAGTACCTATTTATCTACTTGCACCCGGGGTGCTTTCGAACTGCTAGGTTGGCAGGCGCTGGACCGAACAACGGGAGCGCACCCCGCCGTGAGGATTCGAACCGCCGACCTTTCGATCGGCAAGCCCTAGGCACTGAGGTTTTTACCCACAGCGCCACCCGCGTCCCGCTATGATAGGCATATAAACACATAAAAACTTTAAAATAGACTGCCTTAGAGAAATGACCCAAAGTCGCCCGTGGATCCGGGTTTGGGAATTTTCTTAACAAACTAGATTGAATCGGGGGGGGGGGGCGGTCTGCGCCTACAGATCTGTGCGCAGAATCTGGCAACAATCCGGGTCGTCTTGTGGTTTTTGCCTAACAGGAGAAGATCAAATTTTTGCTTTACCGGGAGGTCAGCAAGCCTGACCAGCAGGGGGTCAATGGTTTCTCTACGTGCCTCATCATAAAATGGACATCTTAAAAATATGTGTTCAGGCCTTCCTATAACCCCCAATGGACAGGCACAAATTCTCTGGTCATATGGGACTTTTTAAAAGGATCCTTCCAAGACCGGCGAGGGCAGAGCCGAGCTTCTGGCAAGTGTAAAAGCCCTTCTTGCATTTTTGGATACAAGAAAAAAGAGATATGCTGCTGGTGCAGCTATATATCTCTCAATTTCTACAATTTTGTAGTCCTGTTGTCTCTCGGTGTCTATAATTCTTTGCCTAGCCATTGCTTTTGTTTGGCCCAAGCCCAGACAAAGTATGGTTGGGAGATCCAACAATGTTTGAGTTTGGCTGACCCTCTACTGATCACCCAGTCTATACCACTTCAGACTGCAGGTCCTCTATAGGGGGAAAGTCCTTGCATGCAGAAAGCTAGCACATGATGAAGGATATACCTGCAAAAAAAATTGCTGGTCTGGAAGAGCCTTTCTTTCTATGGGGCACTTTACAAGTGCCACATTGCCAAGTGCCTGTTTCACACTTAATGAAAGCTCGATCTTTAGTGTGCCTGTTCTCTGGAACTCCCTGCCCCTGGATATTAGGCAGGCATTTCCTTGGTGCTGTTAATGTCTGCTAAAAATAGGCAAGCCTACACAGGCATGTAATTTTATTATGTACAGTGCATTTGTTTTAAAAATCTTTTGCATTTACATTTCCGTAATTTTGCTACGTCTTTCTGCTTTTACTGCCATTTTAAAAAACGAATATTATATACTATTCTGTGTAAACTGTGTAGAGATATATATTTTTTAAAAAAACCTAAGCAGTATATGAATCTTATTAAATGAATACAGTGGTACCTCGGGTTACAAACGCTTTGGGTTACAAACTCATCAGGTTACAGACTCCGGTAACCCGGAAGTAGCAAAAGGTAAAGGTAAAGGGACCCCTGACCATTAGGTCCAGTCGTGGCTGACTCTGGGGCTGCGGCGCTCATCTTGCTTTATTGGCCAAGGGAGCCGGCGTACAGCTTCCGGGTCATGTGGCCAGCATGACTAAGCCGCTTCTGGTGAACCAGAGCAGCACACGGAAACGCCGTTTACCTTCCCGCCGGAGTGGTACCTATTTATCTACTTGCACTTTGACATGCTTTCAGACTGCTAGGTTGGCAGGAGCAGGGGCCGAGCAACGGGAGCTCACCCCGTCGCGGGGATAGAACCGCTGACCTTCTGATCGGCAAGTCCTAGGCTCTGTGGTTTAACCCACAGCGCTACCCACGTCCCTAACCCGGAAGTAGTACCTCGGGTTTAAGAACTTTGCTTCAGGATGAGAACAGAAAGCGTGCAGCGTCGGTGCAGCAGGCCCTATTGGCTAAAGTGGTACCTCAGGTTAAGAACAGTTTCAGGTTAAGAACGGACCTTCGGAATGAGTTAAGTTCTTAACCAGAGGTACCACTGTAAAAGCTTTGTCTGGAGATGCCAGGAATTGATTCTGGGACCTTCTGAATGCAAAGCAGGTTCTCTGCTGCTGAGTGACAACCTTCCCCTAGCCACACTGCCTCTCCTGTATAGACTTTTAAAGTAACACGGTGAAATCCTTCAATTGTTTCAGACGGCTGCAGGGATTTTGTTAGATTCCCTGCAGAGTTTCTGCACCAAAATGCAGCAAACATAAGCCCTCCCCTCCACAAAATAGTTTGAAATCCAAGCTAAAGCGTGCAAGTCATGGATGCATGTGTAAGTTTATTAAATACACATTTTGTTCATCAACATTTGCTGCTCATGTTTATTTTCATTTGCTCCATATACAGAATCTAGAGTTTGCAAGTTTGCCAGGGGCCATGTTGGCATAGATGGACACTTCAGCATTTAGAAGCTCTGATCCACAGACTCTTGAAACGTAGCAGTGAACAGCAAGTGCTCACCCTGTAACATAATAAGGATAAGTCTTTTGTGATTGCAGGAGTTCAAAATTTGATCAGGGGGATCAGGAAACTGTCTTAACTCATGTACCCAAGTTGAAAAGCTCTGAGTGCCAGGTTCTCCTCTATGTTCCAAACCCCACATTTTCACGGTGAACCCATGGAAGATGTGCAGAGATTGAGATTCATAGGGTTCCATGCTCGCTTGCTTGATTTCACCCTGGCTGGTGGTGAGATTTCACCTGGGCCCTTCTCCCCACCTTCCCTCTGCATCTCCTCATAGTACAGCCGGACCCTCACTTTTTCTCCACTGTCACCTTCCTGCCAAACAGTTTGTTGAGCGCCTGCTTCATGTCCTCGTTCCTCAGCGTGTAGATGATGGGGTTGAGCAGAGGGGTGACCGCAGTGAAGAAGACCGACACCACCTTGTCCTCCGAGAAGCTGGTGGAGGGGCGGGAATAAATGAAGATGCAGTGCCCCAGGAAGAGGGTCACCACCGTGAGGTGGGCTGCGCATGTCGAGAGTGCCTTGCGCCGGCCTTCCGCAAGACGTTTGCGGAGGGAGACCAGGATGATGCCGTAGGAGACCACCAGGACCACGAAGCAGACCACGGAGATCAGCCCCGAGTTGGAAACAATGAGGATCTCAATGACGTAGGTGTCTGTGCATGCGAGCCTGATGACCGGGGGGACGTCACAGAAGAAGTTGTCAACCTTCTGGGGCCCACAGTAGGGTAGCTTGATGGTCATGCCAGTCAAGGCGAGAGAGTGCACTGTGCCACCCAACCAGATCGTGCCGGCCAGCAGGAGGCAAACCTTCTGGTTCATGATGGTGAGGTAATGCATCGGGTTGCAGATGGCCACATAGCGGTCATAGGCCATGACGGTGAGGAGGAAGATCTCCGTGCAGGCAAAGAGGTGGAGGAAGAACATCTGGGCCACGCAGCCCCCGAAGGAGATGGTCTTTGCAGTTGAGAGGAAGTCAGCCAGCATCTTGGGCACAGTGACTGTGGCATGGCAGACGTCGATGAAGGAGAGGTTGCTCAGGAAGAAGTACATGGGAGTGTGCAGCCCCTGGTTGTGGATGATGGTGACCACAATGAGAATATTGCCAGCCAAGGTGAGCAGGTAGACCACCAGGAAGACCACAAAGAGCACCAGCTGCGTCCCAGGGTCGTTGGACAGCCCCACGAGGATGAACTCGGTCACCGAGGTCTGGTTTGGGGCTACCACAGTCCAGTTTGGTACCACACGTTCTTCCATTTCTGTTCTAGAGAAAGGGAAAGGGCAGAAGAACATTTTGAGTGACCTAGAAGGTCCTTTATTTATTATTTCATACACTCTACATACTGTTTGATTGAAAAGAGAAACCCTCAGAGCTGTTTACAGATTGAAGATATCTGATTTATACAAACTTGCAACATATGAACAGCTTGCATATGAACGCAGACTTGCCATGGACAAATTCAATGATATTTGGAATCCATTCTTACAAATACTGTAACAGGTGAAGATCTGGCGAAGAACAATAACAACTTTGTAAAGTACAGTCATACCTCTGGTTGCATTCGTTTCACGTTGCGGATTTTCGGGTTGCGAACGCAGCAAACCTGGAAGTGTAGTAGTAGTAGTAGTAGTAATAATAATAATAATAATAATAATAATAATAATAATAATAATAAATTTTATTTATATCTCGCCCTCTCCAGCCGAAGCCGGGCTCAGGGCGGCTAACAACAATAAAATAGTACAACATTCTAAAATCATTTCATTATAAAATTAATTCAACTCAAATTGATGGCAATCATTAGGCTAAAGTTCTGTGAAGACTGCCAAAGGAGGGAGTCAGGCTGTGCCCTGTGCCCTGTGTATACTTCCGGGTTTCGCCACGCATGCACAGAAGCGATCTGCGTGCTTCACACATGCGCAGAAGCGCTCTATTGCGCTTCATGCATGTGCAGTAGCGGCGCTCTACTTATGAACTTTTCAGGGCTGTGAACGGACTTTTTGGGAAGCTCACAAGGAGGGCATGAAAGCAATGGTTCACTCCTACTATTGGCTCCCTATAAATTGGCCTCTAATGGCATAATTGCCTTTGACCATGGAGGTTCTATATAGCTATCACGGTAAGTCTGTGGAGGGGTTACTGGTTTGTTTTTAATTATGCATTTTGTGTTTTTATATTGTGATTTTATCTTGTGAACCACCTTGAGACCTGTGGGTTCAGGGCGGTATAAAAAGGTAAAGGTACCCCTGCCCATACGGGCCAGTCTTGACAGACTCTAGGGTTGTGCGCCCATCTCACTCTATAGGCCGGGGGCCAGCGCTGTCCGCAGACACTTCCGGGTCACGTGGCCAGCGTGACAAGCTGCATCTGGCGAGCCAGCGCAGCACACGGAAACACCGTTTACCTTCCTGCCAGTAAGCGGTCCCTATTTATCTACTTGCACCCAGGGGTGCTTTCGAACTGCTAGGTTGGCAGGCGCTGGGACCGAACGACGGGAGCGCACCCCGCCGCGGGGATTTGAACTGCCGACCTTTCGATCGGCAAGTCCTAGGCGCTGAGGCTTTAACCCACAGCGCCACCCGTGTCCCCAGGGCGGTATACAAATCTAAATAATAATAATGATATGCATTATACATTTAAAGTACTGTAGTACCACACCATGCTTTCAAGCAAGCCATGGCTTCCCATGAAGAATCCTGGGAACTGTAGTTTGTAAAAGGCGCTGAGCTTTATTGGGAGGCCCCTATTCCTATCACACAGCTGCATTTCTCTGAATTCCCCGGGAAGAGGGATTGACTGTTAAGCTGCGCCGAGACCTGAAACTAGAGGCAGGATCCGAGTTTAAGGGGACATTCTAGCCTGACAAAATCACTCAGGTCGGCTGCAGAGGAAGGGCTAGGAATGGGTTTGGTTGGGGAAGGGGGCATGGCCCATGGAAACTGAGGGCCACACAGAGAGGCTTGAAGAGCCACCTTCAGCCACCAGTCCTGAGGTTCTGCCCCACAACCTGCCTCTTCTGACCAGCAGTGGCTCTCCAGGGCTTCACCAACATACCGTACTTTCCCGGTCCTACCTGGAGATGCCAGGAATTGAATCTGGAACTTTCTGCATGCAAATATATATTCTTCAGCACTGTGGTACTGAACAGGGTGGATTTGATTTAAATCAAATCAATTTAAACCACGATTTAAATCACTAGTCAGTAAGACTTGATTTAAATCTTTTTTTGTACAGAAAGACTCACTCTTGCTGATATAATCTTAATCTTTACAACCAGATGAAGGTTTCATTTTTGAAATTATAAATTTTCGGAGTAGTTTTTACAGTTACATCAAAAATTACTGATTTGGTTATACTATTAGAAATACATAGACAGATGATTATGAAATTTTTGTGAGGTTTAATAAGTTAACTGTTTATGTTTGGACAAATTTTCTTCTGTACTTTATTGGAAGGAGAAAAATAATCATTTTCTTAATAACAATTTAAACAATTTATTTAACTAAAACAGCAACATTACACCATATGTATCCATGTTTGTTAACTGATGTGGTTAAACATTTTTTTTTAAAAAAACCAACACCTTAGACTGAGTTTTAGCAAACATGAAAAACTTAAAACAAATCCTTATTTCCTGATGAATCCTTTGGACTATAATGTAACTTAAATAGAAAACTATATTTAGAAAGATTTTTCCTCCACAGCATTTTATTTTAAAAATCCAATTTAAATTTTAAAAAATCCAATTAAAAAAAATAAAATCCAATTTAATTTTTTAAAATCCATTTTTTAAAAAACCATTGATTTTTAAAAAAAAACCATTGATTTTTTTTTAAAAAAATCATTGATTTTTATCCACCCTGGTGCTGAATAATCCTGAAGCCTGTTCTGCTTCTCCATATGGGTCAGATCTTTGACACAATGATCTTCCTATCCACCCATGTATTCTGTCCCCTGTACACACATACCACCAACTCTTGGGTAAAGGTAAAGGACCCCTGACTCTTAAGTCCAGTCGCAGATGACTCTGGGGTTGCAGCGCTCATCTCACTTTACTGGCTGAGGGAGCCGGTGTTTGTCCGCACACAGTTTTTTCGGGTCATGTGGCCAGCATGACTAAGCCGCTTCTGGTGAAACCAGAGCAGCGCACGGAAAAGCCGTTTACCTTCCCACTGGAGCGGTACCTATTTATCTACTTGCACTTTGTCGTGCTTTCAAACTGCTAGGTTGGCAGGAGCAGGGACCGAGCAACGGGAGCACACCCCGCCGCGGGGATTCGAACCACCGACCTTCCGATCGGCAAACCCTAGGCTCAGTGGTTTAACCCACAGCACCACCCGCATCCCCTACCACCAACTCTTAGTTAACCATATATGTGGCATCTCACCCTCAGGATTGCGGGTGCCCACTGCCACAAGGTGGACATGTGATATCATACACACACACACACACACACAACACACAACTCCACTTCTGAGCCCCCCTCCCTGGAAAAGGGTGCCTGAACTGCTTCTCTCTCAGTACTACGATTCTCTCCGCACAGAACTACAATTCCCAGAGTTCCATGTGAAGAAGAACTGGCCATTCTGATATTTTTGGCTCTGTGAGGGGAACAGGGGGCTCCTAATAGCTCTCAGCACTTCTTAACAAACTACAGTTCCTTCCCGGGATTCTTTGGGAGAATCCCCCTCCTTTGAGAGAGGAGAGAAGAAGAAGGATTGTAAAGAATGGGAAAGAAATAAGGCAATGCAGCCAGATTGCTTTCAAATGAAATATAGATAATTGTTGCTATAGCTTCACTATGGTAACCATACAGGGGCCAAAGTACACCTTAATTCATAGGTGGTAAGGGATGGGGGAGAGATTTGATTCAGGCCACATTTAAAGATGAATCTTGCAGTGAAGGTCTCCGGCCAACGAAGCTTTACAAAAATGCATATATTAGGGGAATGAACATAACAGTAGAAATGACATACGAAAATGCGTTACGTTAGGAGCAAGTGCTCGCAAAAATGTTTAGTCAAAACTGCATACAAAATCTGTTTCTTCAGAGAAATTCACACTGTTTAGCCCTCGCCATCCTTGAGATTTCCCCTATCAAAATCCCCCCCACACAGAGCGCTGCTGTTAATTTTGCTGGAGAAAAATGAATCCAGATCTTTTTCGTACATTGGGGCAAATGCAATAGGAGCTTTGGGTGTGCGTGTGTGTGATTTTGATCAGAAAAAACTGCTTTGGGGAGCATTAAACACCTCTTTCCCCAACACCACTCCCTGGTCTGAACTGCCTTCACACCCACATCCCTGCTTAATATTTATCTTAAAAGAAGCAGAAGAAAAGGAGCAGAAGCTGATAAGGAGTCTTATTTCAAACCTCTAAGAAAGTTATTTAAGCACCAACCAACCCCTAAATCTTTTCAAGTGATCCACCCTTTCAAATGATAAATTAAAAAAAAAGACCTGCAAGGTTGCAGTAGCCTCGGGAATATAGCTGCCGTTCTCCACTGTTGTCTTCTGAAAAGTTTAAGAACCAGGTTGCAGCATGCCTTCTCTCAGGATATATAACCTTCTGCTGTTTTGCTTCAATCCAGGCTCTTGCCAACTTCACTTTGTTGCAATTCTTTAGCAAGTCAGCCCCTCAGAGATCAGAACTCCTGACAGGCACCACAAGGGATATAGTTAGGACGTTCAAAACTTCCAAAATGTTTTCGAACATTTGTACAGCATCACGGTTCTGTTCTCTGCAAGGGGAGGGGAAAAACGACTTTATTCTTTAATTAGGATTCTCTGCTGTTCTGATCCAATGTGATGTGCTTTTGTGCTGCCCACGGAGATGAGATATGAAGGAGCCCTTGAATAATGGTGGTGAGGAGGAGGCAAGAGCCCACAAGCCTGACTCCCCCCCCCCAATTTCAGCCTATTCATGCCCCTCCCTGAGATGTGGAAGCTCTGGCCCTGCAGTTGTTGCTGGACTACAACTCCCATCATCCCCTGCTATTCTGTTTGGGACTGATGGGAGTTTGAGTTCAGTGACATCTGGAGAACTAGAGGGGTCCAGGGCAGCCCCATACAAAGTGCGTCAGGGGTGGCATCTCACTCTCTCAGGCCCATGGGTGCCCACTGCCACAACGCAGACATGTGAAGTCACACACACACACACACACACACACACACACACACACACACACAAACTACCTCCCTGGAAAAGGGTGCCGTTCTCACTGGCTGCAGAAAACAGAGCTGAACTGCTTTTCTCTCGGACAACAATTCTCTCTTCTCAGAACTACAATTCCCAGAGTTCCATGTCAAGAAGAACTGGCCATTCTGATAATTTTAGCTCTGTGAGGGGAACAGGGGTCCCCTAGCAGCTCTCAGCACCTCTTAACAAACATTTATTTATTTATTGAATTTATATTTCGCCCAATACCTGGAGTCAAACAAAATCAAAATATAAAACCACAAAATATATAATCAAAATAAAAACAACCCCCCCAAACCGCCACATTTTAAAAGGGCATAGGATGTAAATTGGATCAACCAAAGGCCTGGTTAAAGAGAATCGTTTTTGCCTGGTGTCTAAAGGTGTATAATAAAGGTACCAGGCGAACTTCCCTGGGGAGAGCATTCCACAGATGGGGAGCCGCTGCAGAGAAGGCCCTGTTCTTGTGTTGCCACCCTCTGCACCTCTCGAGGAGGAGGCACACGAAGAAGGGCCTCGGAAGATGATCTCAGGGTCCGGGGAGGTTCATATGGAAAGAGGTGGTGCTTGAGGCATTGCGGTCCTGAGCCATTTCAAGGTTTTAGAGGTCAAAACCAGCACTTTGAATTGGGCACAAAAACTAATTAGTAGCCAGTGCAGTTGGACCAGGATCGGTGTAATATGCTCAAACTGTCTTGCTCTGGTGAGCAACCTGGCCACTGAATTCCACACTAGCTGAAGTTTCCGAACTCTCTTCAGAGGCAGCCCCACGTATAACACATTGCAGTAATCTAACCTGGAGGTTACCAGAGCATAGACAGCAGTAGTTAGGCTATCCCTGTCCAGATAGGGGCGTAGCTGGGCCACCAGCTGAAGCTGATGGAAGGCACTGAGGCCACCTGAGCCTTGAGCGACAGCAAAGGATCCAGGAGGACCCCCAAGCTATGAACCTGCTCCTTCAGAAGAAGTATAACCCCATCAAGAACTACATCAAGAACCCATCAAGGAACTATACTTCCTCCCCAGAATTCTTTGGGGGAAGCCATGACTTTTCAAAATGACATCATACTGCTTTAAATGTGTGGTACAGACGGGGCCTAACAGTGAATGCTTATGTAGCCAAACCAGCACCATCTACACAGAAGTGGCATGTATAATTAAAGGTACCCCTGCCCGTACGGGCCAGTCTTGACAGACTCTAGGGTTGTGCGCTCATCTCATCTAGAGGCCGGGAGCCAGCGCTGTCCGCAGACACTTCCGGGTCACGTGGCCAGCGTGACAAAGCTACTCTGGCGAGCCAGAGCCGCACACGGAAACGCTGTTTACCTTCCCGCTAGTAAGCGGTCCCTATTTATCTACTTGCACCCAGGGGTGCTTTCGAACTGCTAGGTTGGCAGGCGCTGGGACCGAGCAATGGGAGCGCACCCCGACGTGGGGATTCAAACCGCCGACTATGCGATCAGCAAGTCCTAGGCGCTGAGGTTTAACCCACAGCACCACCCGCGTCCCGGCATGTATAATTAGGCTTGTTTAAAATTAAAAGGTGGTGGGTAGGGAACCCAACAAAGCTCAGTGAGGACTTAGCATGCTCAGAAGGGACAGAAAGCTGACTCTTCTTTGGTGATCACTCATACCTGAGTAAGATTGTCTTCCATAAACATGGTTTTAACAGTGAGTCCATAAGCGACTGTGGAGGCCAATTCTGGATCCATGCATCCTTCCACAGTGGGAACATAGGCTTCCAGGTGGGAGTTGATCACGGTGAGGGTTTGCCAAATGTGCCCTCCTCTTAGCACGTTTCTCCCCTTTGTATATCTGAGTTCAAGCATCTTTGAAGCCCATGACACGTTTGGTAAAGGCTGTTCTCCAACTGGAGCACTCGCAGGCCAGTGTTTCCCAGTTGTCTGTGTTTATACTACATTTTTTAAAGGTTTGCCTTGAGAGAGTCTTTAAACCTCTTTAGTTGATCACCAGCATTACACTTTCCATTTTTAAGTTCGGAATAGAGTAGTCGCTTTGGAAGACGATAAGCAGGCATCCGAATAACATGACCAGTCCAACGAAGTTGATGTTGAAGAATCGTTGTGGTTGGGTGAAGCAATGCCTCTATATGCTTGTTGCCAGAAACCTCAGGTGGGGAGAAGGATATTGTGCTTGGGGACTGCTTGAGGGGGATGCGGGTGGCGCTGTGGTCTAAACCACAGAGCCTAGGGCTTGCCGATCAGAAGGTCGGTGGTTTGAATCCCCATGACGGGGTGAGCTCCCGTTGCTCGGTCCCAACTCCTGCCCACCTAGCAGTTTGAAAGCATGTCAAGTGCAAGTAGATAAATAGGTACCACTCTGGCAGGAAGGTAAACGGCGCTTCCTTGCACTGCTCTGGTTTGCCAGAAGCAGCTTAGTCATGCTGGCCACGTGACCTGGAAGCTGTCTGTTGAAAAACGCCAGCTCCCTTGGCCTATAGAGCGAGATGAGCGCCGCAACCCCAGAGTCGTCCGCAACTGGACCTAATGGTCAGGGGTATATTTACCTTTTTACTGCTTGAGGATTCCCATAGGCATCTGGTTGGCGACTGTGAGAACAGCATGCTGGACTAGATGGCTGATCCAGCAGGCCCTTCTTATGTTTTTAAAGAAGGAAGATGAAAGTAGAGAGAGGAGGTGTTTATATTCACCCCCAACATCTGTTTCAAATTTTAGGTAAGCTCGGAGAATGACAAACGTGACCACTAGGGGTCAGAAAACAACCAGGAATGATCAATGCCATTTAAAATTTTGTGATAAGGAAGGATAAAATTATGGGAAAAAGGAGGACGAAGAGGAGATGAAGGTGTGATTGAAACAGAATGAGAGGCTTCTGATCTCATTACAGGCCCTGCCAGTGTCCCGACATCAAATTACATCATGGACATCAGCCCACGACAATGAGAAATGTACGTCTTCTTCATGTTTCATGTATCTGTTTCTGATGATAACTTCCCTAGCTATTCTCTGTCTCACACATTGCATCTAGAAGAGCAAGAGCTTGTGTTATCAGCAAGTTACAGCAACTGAAGGTACAGGCACCTCCTTTCATGCTCAGTGTGGGTTAAACAGGTTGCTCTCCCCCCCTTCACCCCAGCTTAAAACATGAGCCTCCTTTTTAATTTTTTACCACACCTGTTCATCCTTTTCCTTCCCTCATTCCAAGGAATTCTGCCCCTGTAAATGGAGGTTAAAACATGTTTTCTAACCATGGTTAAGTCTGTTGTTCTAAACATACAGAGGCCAATTCCGCTCAGCACGAAAGCATAGCTGTCAACGGTTTCCCTTTTTTAAGGGAAATTCCCTTATTCTGAATAGGATTCTCGCAAGAAAAAGGAAAAGTTGACAGCTATGCATGAGAGTCATTTGGAGACCCCGATTCACCTCACGGAGCTCCAGTTCCCAGAATTCCCTGGGAAGAGGGATTGATGGTTAAACCACTCTTAGCACCCTTAACAAAGTCCAGCACCCAGGAATCTTTGGGGGATGCCTTGTCCATTTAAAGAGATATGATATTGTTTTAAATGTGTGGTGAAGAGGGGGCCAACTTCTACTCTTCTTGACTTTAAAGGGACAGCTTTTTCTTTCCCACATGTTAGACAACTGAAGCAGGGTGCTCCCTATGCACAAGGGGCTACAAATATCATAGGAGCAGCGCTATTAGGGGTGTGGGGTTGTTTAACCCTTTCATCCGTACTGTTTCCCTGTTTTAAGTTACACCCCCCCCCCGCAGCTGCTATATAAGAAAACTACAACAGATTCCACAATTGGTCATAAGTTGTACGTAGAATGTTCTGGATCATTCCTATTTTCAGCTTTAAGAAGGGGAAACAGGGTGAAAGCAAAGCATCGGTTTGTGGTGGTGGTTTGTGGTGTGCCGGAGATCAGTAGGCTTTTCAGAACGTTACAGGAAACTCCCTTTCTGTCATAATGTGGTGATCTTTTGACAGAAGGATCTGTTAAGAGCTAGAGGTGGCCAGGCACCCTCCTCATTTCAGCGGAACAGCTACTCTTCAGCTTCGAACTGAAAGATGTTCCTGGCCCTGCTCTTCACAACTGGTGAGCCTGCTATTTGCTCTTGGAAGTCTAGCTCATCCTGTGAACTGTTGTTTGTTAAGGATGCTGAACATCATTAGGAGACCCTTATTCCCCTCAGATATACAATTACTACAATGGTTTAACTATCAATCCTCTTTCACAGGGAAGTCTGAGAACTGTAGTTCCGTGAGGTGAATAGGGAGCTGCCTATCAACATTCAGCACCCTTAACAAATTACAGCACCCAGAATTCTTCAGGGGAAGCCATGACTGTTTCAAGTGCTATCATAGTGCTATCAATGTACGGTGTGGCTCGAGTCAAACCATATGTCCATCTAGCCTCGGACTAGGCAATGTGCTGTCCTCCAGATATTATTGGTCCTCAACTCCCATCATTTCTGATCAGGCAGAGGGCCTTCTCGGTAGTGGCGCCCACCCTGTGGAATGCCCTCCCATCAGATGTCAAGGACGTAAGTAACTACACAACCTTTAGAAGACATCGGAAGGCAGCCCTGTATTGGGAGGTTTTTAATGTTTAATGTTTTATTATGTTTTTGTATAAGCTGGGAGTTGCTCAGAGTGGCTGGGG